TTTTTTTTTTGTAATTATTTGTCTTTATTGTTTAGTTTTAAATTCTAAATCAGTTGCATATAACTCCTTTTTTTTTAGACTGTCTTTTCTGAGAGCTGTGCACGTTCTAGTATCTGCTGCATGAAAGTCTGAACTCGGCCTAATTTGCTTTGCTCCGATATTAGCTGATGTACAGAAAATGAAGCAGGCTGGATGGAACCCACGAAATGGGCACCTCCAGACAGGGACGGGCACTGTCTACTTACCACCGCACATGGGAGCCTGGCAGGGTCTGATGAGGGGCAGCGCAGGGAGGCCCCTGCACATCGCCTCGCTGAGGGTGATGCGCCGGCCTTTGGCTGTCAGCCGCTGACACACCTGCTTCCTTCTCTGAAGCCCGATGCCACAGCTGACCGAGCACTACAAAGAGAGTGGGGGGGGGTCAGACAGAGCCTACAGGACCCTGCCAACAGCAGAGTCGAGGCCTGTGAGGCAGCTGGGCTGGGGTGGGGAAGGGGTTCGTGTAGGGCCACGCCCAAGCAAGGCACCTCCCTGCCTTCAGTGTCTTCCAGGGTACTGAGGCTCCCTTGCTCCTCTCAGCTTCCCGGCATCCTTCTTTTCTTTTCTCTTCCTTTCCTTACTTATTCCTTTTCTGTATTACCTTCTTACTTCCTGAGATTAGCTACTAGTGTACAATAACTTAATGCTGTGAGATTTGTCTTTGACATTGTAATTGATACATTGAATTTCTTTTCTTTTTCTTTTTTATGGTACCAGGGATTGAACTCAGAACCTTGCGCTTGCCAGGCAAGTGCTTATTCTACTGAGCCATCTCCCCAGCCCCGATACATTGAATTTCTTTTTAGCTATTTATGTATAGTAAAATAACTTTGATTTAAAAAAAACATTTACATACTCATTACCAAGAATATAAGCTATGGAAAAAAAAAAGAATATAAGCTATGGAAATGTAGAAAGAGTCAAAAGAATGTCCCGGATCTGAGTTTCATTTCTGTGTTCTACCAAAGACCTGAGAAAGAACTGATATCAACTATTTTTTAAAATTATTCAAAAATACAAGAAGAAATAATTCTTCCAAACATATTCTATAAGTCTAGCAATATACAGATGCTGTAGCCATTTAACAATATAATAATAATTTATTTTTTATTTTTTGCCATAATTTTATTGATAAACAAATAGCAATGAGACAGTTTCAAATCAAATCGGTAGGACAGTTTTAATAATTAACACACTGCATACATT